GTTTTTTCATTATTATTCCCTGCTTTGAGGCAATGCGAATTCTACTCGAAATCCATAAACGATATCGAAATTTTGTAAGAGCAAAAAAATCTTCTAAAATAGTGCTTATTTTTAAAAATATAAATTTTGTCGTCATTGGCGTACATACAAAAAAGTTACGGGATAGCCAGTGGCGCACAGGCACTAGAAATAGAACATCCTGTATATGTATTTTCTCCAAATTCTATATTTACCTTGCCCTTATATAAAAAAATAAGTGTACCAAATTCGAAGATTCTAAGAAAAATAGTTTTCAAATTATTTGAAAAAATCTATTCTATATTTAGACGGCTATATCTCAGTAGGCGTGCACTTTTGTATATAGGTAAGTTAGGCTAAATAGTCTTATTTTCATCCAAGGAACCTGTGGTCAAGGACCAAATCCTTTTCAGGGACACCCTGTAGATGGACGTACTGATCAGACAGCTGGCCAGATCTTAAGCAAACACAACAACCATCTATACAATATCTCAAAGAAAATAGGGACAGCCTCTACCAAGGCCAGCTGCAGAATCAATCTACTCTAAGACCCCGATTTATAAAACATTCCTTGTACGTGCAGAAAAGTGTACATTGAACTAAGAGAAAAACACGTCACTACGAGATTAAAGGAATTGTCACTTGAAGAATAACAACTTGGAAAAATGAACAATTGCCGAACACAAGGCACATACAGGATAACCGACGGACCTAACTAATACCAGAATTCTGGTGAGACAGGGAAGATTATTGGCAAGGTTCTACAGGGAGGCAATAGAAATTCAGTAGAATTGAGATGATTTCTACTGAGGTGAGGGGTTAAAACTAAGTACCTGGAATTTAAAAACGACTCATCAAACAAGAATGAATCAATGTGTTCTACCCTTTTTAAAATTATATATTTTACCTTAGTTATCTTAAAAAAGTAAAAAAGGTGGGTGTAACCGTTTCTTTTGTTCTAAATAAAAAAATTAATATATCCTTAACTAAAAACGAATGCAGTACTTAATGGAATCTGGTGCCATTGTTGTTGTATATATCCCACCATGGAGAAACGCAAATCCATATAATCGGTGGGATAAGTAATATGGTAATGTGTCAATACTTCCAAAAAAATTCAACAGTAACCCTAACAGAATAGCACATTTTTATATCTTTAGTAATAACCGTGATAATCTAGTATGGCAACGAGAATCGAATGTACATACATACGTATACAATAATTACTTCAACCAGTAGCGAAGGTACTGAACAAAATTCCTTTAAAATCCCAGAATTTCGACACATGCGGTTTGGAAATTCGATCAGTTTATTTGATTCGTAGGTAATTGTATTTGAACAGAAATATTTTATATTATTATTTTTTTATTTTTTTCTTGTTAGCAACAAAATGTGACTAACTTTCCAAAACAGAAACGAGACGAGATGGATTAGAATCCGACTTCAGAATTGATCTACCACATCAGGTTTTAGGAATATCCTAATCTAAAGATACGAAAACACAGTTTTTCTTTATATTTGAGGTTGTATACATCACGAGCTACTTTTTGTCCACAAGTTTGTCACAAAACAAGATGGATCTGAAAGCCTTCTTCACAAAGTCTATTTTGAAGTGTAAAAATTGCTCTTTGTTAACCCCTAAAATCTTCAAATTTTCGTTCATTTGTCTACACAACAATGCTTAAACCTATTTTATACTAAAAAAATAATAGCTCGAAAATTGCTTGTTTTTTTAATAAAATGGAAAAATCTTTAACAGTCGAATGGACTAACTGAATTTCAAAATACTTACCAGCACCTATTAATATAGGTAACCGTCTTTATTTAGTTAAATGGTCAGCCCATGTTTTATTAATTAACTTCAAATATCTTTCGAGGCATTTGTGTAGTTGCGATATTTTTCAAAAACTTTAACATCTATAGTTGAACAGTTGTCCGTTTAAAGAATATGTTCATATTTCCTTGAAATAATTTAATTACTCCTATTTAACAACCACCCTTTATAATCTCTTACTTTCTAACAAATTAGTTTATACGAAAAATATATTTTTTATGTAGTTTACTTCAGTAAATAATAACATAAAATTCTTGTAATAAATAAATATTTGGAGTACACGCTGAGATAATTCAAAATACTGAAAGTAAAATATCTACTCGTGAATTAAAACCAATATCTGGTGATAGATAACTTCCAAAGTAATTTTAAAGTTATATCTAGTTATATATCTATGTCTAACAACAAATACTTCACGTTTTGAGTGTAACTACTTAAAATATTCCAAAAACAGCAATCAAGGCGTCTTATTTTCAATTATTACTAGATATCGGAAATGTTAAGGCAGTTGCAGTGTGGTACAGGGTTGGCTGAAGGCCAGGTTCTCTCTTATGTAGGCAGCAAGATAAGTAAAGGAAGTTTAATGATAAATAATTATCGGACTGTTGAAAGACCAATAATTTTTACGGTTGGGCTTTTGAAATTCCCTTAAATTTTAAAAAAAATCATCAAAATCGGACCTCTAGAAGGTGAGATATTAAAAATTTTTAAGCGCATCGCGGTTTTGAACTCGCCGATTCAATTTCGAGCAGGCCGAAGCGGCGGCGTTCTCTGCTTCCCCCCACCACCAGTACGATTTTCTTGAATTTCTCGCTTGCATAAATCACTTTAAACACATTTTAAAGTAGGTTGCCAATGAAGAAAAGTATTGTAATCTTAGACCTGGTAAGTACTCGGAATACCAAAGGTATTTTTCGAAATACATATTAGCCCAGATGTCCCAGTACATTTAGTGTAAATGACGGTTAACTTTGATCGACTATAACTACGTAACTAATTGACCAATCGATCTGTTTTTTTTTTAAAGTAGCGTCTTTCCAAGAACTTTTAAAACCTGCTTTAAAAAATTTGATTTGATTGAATATTCACAAAGTTATTCTAATTGTTTATAAGTGCAAAAATTCGACCAATGTTTAAACAAGCGCCAGAGCTCTCCTAATTGACGGATTCGAATTTTTCAAAAAGAGTTTAAAAGCTTGAGAGCCCTTCTATATGTCATTAAATTTTCAAGTATCTAAGGGCCTTGGTTTTTGCTGTGCAAAATTTTGAAAATTTGCAATTTTTTTTCAAAATCTGGATTGCAAAATTATTATGCAAAATCTATCGAACCGATTTTGATGAAATTTGGTGTGATGATTCTACATAACATGAAGTTTTCTTGAGCCAAGTATAAAGGTCCTATACCCAACTTAAATACTCCAAAAAGAAAACTAAAAAGTATTGTTTTTTAACCCCATTTTTGCGAATTTTTTCTATTTTTACCATAATCATGATACATTCGATTTGTAACTAGTTATGTTTTGTAAAAAATTTAATTACAAACATTTTTTTCCTCGTCCATTTTCGCCTAAAATCAACTCTTGAAAAGATACATAATTAAATAGGAAGAAAAATATGACATTTTTCAAATTTTTTTACCATATTGTGCCGCCAAAAGTTAAGCCCATGTTTTTTTATGCGCACAGAAAAATTTTCATTTCTAGTGATATTTGAAAGTCAAAAAGCCAAAAATCTCCATGGATATACGATTCACCCAAATATGGCTTTTTGAAACAGATACCGTCTGGACTATAGGTATTTAATGAGTTATTTAAAAGCAGTTGAATATTTTTAAATAATTTTAGTACTGCCCTTTTTGATTTTTTCATTACAAAATTGTATTTGTAAGTTCTGGATCACCCTGTATAGGGAAATAGCATTATTGGAAGTGAGATACAAAGTGTTAGCTTCGATATTGAAACAAAAGATAGAAGAAAATGCCGAAAATGTGATAGGGGAGTACCAAGGTGATTTCCGGAAAGGAAGGTCAACAACTGATCAGATTTTAATGTTGAAGCAAGCCAATATATTATGAATATCATATTCCTACGGTGACGCTATTTGTGGAATTTAAAAATACTTATGATTGAGTTGATAGGAGAAAATTATCGAAAGCGCTAAGTGAATTTCAATTCCTTGATAAATTAATACGCTTAATAAAATCAACATCGAAGAAGACACAAATGTCAGTAAAGATCAAAGAGCAGAATTCAGAAATATTTGAGGTCAAAAGAGGTTTGAGGCAAATGGACCCACTATCATCAGTATTGTTCAATATAGCACTAGAAAAGGTAATGAAAGACAGAATTTAATCGCAGCAGCAGATAAGATGGGATTAGAAATCAACATGAAAAAGACTAAATTTATGGAATTAAGAAACAGTGCCAAGGAGAGGAAGCAAATAAAATTCACAATTCAAGCAGGATTAATGGGAAGGAAAGAAATAGAGGAAGTAGAATGTTTTATGTATTTGGGAACATTAATCGATAACAAAATTGAAGAGGCTAGTGAGATAAATTTGAGAATAGCAAAAGGTAGTGTTATGGCGAGGAGAGTGAACAAAATTTTAAGATCGAAACAAATATCCAGACAATCAAAGATAAGGTTATAAGCACCAACAGTATTATATGGAGCAGAAACGTAGACATTGTAGACAATAAATACGAGAACCCAGAATCAACTTGAAAGGTGGGAAAGAAGAATATTTCGCAGAATTTTTGGAGGGAAGAAGGTGGAAGAAGAATGGAAAGAAGAACAAAGTGTAAAGTAAACGAAAGTAAAGTATACGAACATTTTAATAAAACACCGATTAGCGAAATAGTTCGGAAACACAGACAGCAGTGGTTAGGACAACTGGAAAGGATGGGAAATGAGAAAATAGTCAAAACGGTAGCTAATAAGGTGCCAGAAAGTAAGAAAAGAAGAGGAAAGCCAAGAAGAAAATGGATGGGCGCGGTTATGCACGACTAAAAATGTGGTTAACTGGAGAGAACAGGCTAAGGAAGATAGAACGAGTTGGAAGAAAACCCTAAAGTTATGATCCTAAAGTATGTTATTATTATTATTAAAATCCCAATTTTTAAATAAAGAATAGAAAGAATAAAAAAAATTGTAAGAGTAATAGATATTTATTGTAAGAATATAATACATAACATGGGTATATCACTTATATGTAAATCAGTAAATACAAATCAACAACCACCCACCTCACAGGGGTTATCATAATTTGAAAGGTTATCAGATCTTTCAGAGTAATGATATCCTTGAGCACATTCTCTGACTTCTACAACGCCATAGTTGCACATAACGTAGTTCGAACAATTGCAGTGAGGTTTAATGTAAACAAAATCGTCGTATTCACAATATACTACGTTTTCCGGTTGGTCGCAGACATTTATTGTTGGGTTGAAATAGAGTCCATCCGAACAGTTTTGTCCAAACGCCAAGCCGGTGTCACATATGAAAAATTTAGTACAGTCCCTTGGGTTGGGTATTAGCACGGGTTGATCTCCATTTAATTCTGGGCAGCTTTCTAAAAAGAAAATCATATTTTTAATACATTTCTGGTAATTTAATGGTAACAATTACGTGGTGTATAATTCTTTTACGTACTAATATGCAAGAAAATAAGGCCAGCTTTCAACAAATTGACAAATTTGTTAACACTGCTATGGACGTTAATATTATTGGTTATACAAGGTGTTCCGAATTTTATGCGTGATAGATCTCTTTAAAATAATATGCCTTACAAACATAGGTCTGGAACAGCCCAGTTTTAGAGATACAGGGTGTTGAAGTTGTTAAAAAAAATTCAGATTTTTTGTTTATATCTCAGGAATTTATTAATCGATGTCATTAAAATTTGGTACAGATAATCTATGATGGTAGGCCTTGCATTCTCTAAAATATGAGCTCTAAAGGTACAACCAGTGATGTACAACTGGCAGGGGTCATCTCTTTTTTTATAAAAAAAAAACTACGTCACTGCATTTTTTACAAGTAATTGTAATGGATTTATATTCTAATGCACAAAATACGTAAAAAAGGTAACTTGAATTTTTTCCCTAAGATTCGCCGTTTTCAAGTTTTTGATACCAATACAATCCCCTTGTAAAGATATTTCTAACCATAATATTACAAGAATATTTATGTTTATGCTTAAAAGTAAGTGGAATTTGTAAGCACATCAACAAAATACTTTACATTCGTTTCCACACCACCTGTGAGGTAGAGTTCCTTACGCGTTTTAGTTTCCCCTGGAAGCCCAACCCACTATCTTTACAAATAAGAACAACTTAAATCAAAATAATAATAAATGTACATTTACCAAAGGCGAGGGGCAGTGAATTTTCACAATCTGCATATTTGGCCACAAGAAAATCCTCATGTCGTACAAGATCTTTTCATCACGATTTTCTGTGAACGTGTGGCTCGGAATAATTCGCAAAATAGTTTGTGGACCTTTCTTCTTGCCACCCCGTCTAAATTCCCAGTCATTTCTAAACTTTCTAGAAAACCATCTATTTGAATTATTAGAGGATGTTCCATTAAATATACGACAAAATAGCTGGATACAATGGATGGTGCTTCTGCGCATTCTGGGAGAATACTATAAGAATGGCTTAATGAAAATTATATGGGGCGATGGAGAGGTAAAAAACCAATGCCAATGTCAACTATAATGGTGCAGAGGGTCCAGTGTCTTGGCCAGCCAGATTGCCATATCTAAACCCCCTGGACTTTTATGTTTGGGGTTATCTGTAAAGTAAAGTTTATTCTACTCCAACAGATACAATACTACAACTACTGCAACGAACAGAATCCGGGTGTAATGAATTAAAAGAAAACCACCACATAATATTAGCATCAATTAATTCCATTAATAGAAGATGTCGAAATGTATCGATGGGGTGGTTCGCATTTTGAACAATTGTTGTAAATACGTAATGTTAATTTTGTTTCTTGTTTAGTTGCTGTTGCTTGGTAAATATATTTAATTATTTTGATTTAAATTGTTCTTATTTGTAAAGAATATTAGGCCTCCAGGAAAAACTAAAATACACCAAGAACACTACCTCGCAGGTGGTGTAGAAAGGAGTGTAAATAATTTTGTTGATATGCTTACAAATTGCACTTACTTTTAAGCATAAACATAAATATTCTTGTATTATTATGGTTAGAAGTGTCTGCCACAAGCGGATTGTATTGGTGTGAATAACTTGAGAACGGCGAATTTTAGGGAAAAAATTAAAGTCACCTTTTTTACGTATTTTGTGCATTAGAATATAAATCAGTTACAATGGCGTGTAAAAAATGCAGTGGCGTAGGTTTTTTTGTAAAATAAGAGGTGACCCCTGTCCAGTTGTACACCACTGATCTTTAAAGCTCATATTTTAGGGAATTCATTGTTTGACATTTACCAAAAAGTGTTTTAATGACAGCAGCCTGCTATGAATATATCACACAAGCTCAGAATGAGGAGTTCATACCGTATTTTGCAACGTTCTAAAAAATTTTTTTTTCACAAAAACAAAGCTATACAAAATTTTTGTAAAAGACAAAAAGTTTTTAATAATCAAAGGCATCTGAAAATTTTATTTTTCTTATGAAATCTAAAAGAATAAAAAAGTTTGTAGAAAAAACATAAAAGAGGTGGGTTACTTCACCCCCTTCAGCAAACCAGGAAAATGGAAAATATGCTAGTAAAATATGATTCTATAAGTATTATAATCATGCCCAATCTCGTTTGCTTGTATTCAACGGTTTTAGAGAAAAATTGGAAAAACCGCCCCCCTTTAATAGACTAACTTTTTAGGGAAGGCTCCAATTAAAAAACCCATATGGAAGAAAGACCCCATCAAAACTTTCCAAGGAATGCAGTACTGATTTTTTTGTACACAAGGTATAATACAAGTCAAACATGTTACATATTATTTTTTTAATATTTTTTTATTGAATGCATACTTAATAAATAAAATGATTGTAATCAAAATTATAGTTATCGAAATTATTCATCACAGAAATATGTAAAGAAATATTCACCAATCTCCCATTTGAGGCATCAGTAGATAGATCGTGGTACAACTTAAAGAAAATATGTATAAGTTCTCTAAAGTATTAAAAATTGGGAGGGGAGAACACTTAGGTATATCTTTCGAATGATCTCGGCGTGATACGTAGGAAAGGGGAGACGTCCAATTATTTACAAGCATTTTTTAGAAACTACACAACACCAACAAGAAAGAAATTGCTTTAATAAAAAAAACTAATAAAAAACTTACTTTCTGCAACCACTATAATAAAAATTAGTAGGGAAAAACATAATCCTGCCACTTTATATATCATAACCGGTTTAATAAACAATGACCAATTTACTGCAAAACACTGGATAGACTGTAACTGTTTAATTTTTCAAATAAACATAGGTAACAGATTGTAAATCGTTCAGGTAACTTTAAAAAAACAACAATTTATTATTGTAATGGGGGGAAACACTTCAATATAATGGTTTTATTATGAGATAATAATTATCACTTGAAACGAAATAAAATTGCAAAATCTAATTATTTTATTAATAAAATTCCCAGAAATAAGCAGATTAGTTAGTCCTCTGTGCCGCTGATTCAAATCTACTATTATAAGTAGGTATTTTCTTTCAATTAAAACTACCTGTTTACCTATTTTATTGCCCATCTACTTAAGGTATTTCTGAATCTTGTGAGATGAAGATGAGAAAAGAGATGACAATTTCACCATATTATGATATAGTTCGCTATTATAATTGTGAATGGGGCTTATATTAGTACGAAGGATACTTATGACCATTAGAAACACATATCATAAATTTGTTTTTTCAAATTTCACCATGAAAACTGATTATTTTTAACTATTTTTCTGGTAATTTTTCATACCCCGCCTCTGGACAGCGTAGTGTACCGCCAAACAGCCTGTGTCATAACCCTCATGCATAGTTGTCAAATTGTATATTTCTTGATTTGTAAATATACGTACATGGTTCCTTCACATCACATAGCATTTTAACAATGAAGATAGAAATAGATACACCATACAACCATTTATTAAATAACTTGTAACACTTCCGCTATACAAAGATGCTTTTTAATGATATTTTAACTTTAACTAAAATTAGTCTTCATAAGATACAAATATTAACTATTTCAATTCCTGTAAAAACTAACGTCACGCAGAGTCACGAAAGTGCGTATTGTATTACAAACAACTTTTCGTAAACCCATAAACCGAAAAGTAAAATATAAACATGAAAAGGTTTCGTATTCGGTCATTCTGCTTTCGCCTAATAACGTTAGCCGTTTTATTTCTGTCCGTCTACCACCCTGTTGACATATCAGGTTTATTTATACCTGTCAACTTGCATATTCCATTCTATAAACAAGGATCAAACACGTGCTGCTGTAAAAGTATTGGTCAAAACGGTTTGAACGGCAATCCCCACCACAGACAGCCTTTCATACAAAACTGGACATTCATTCATTCATTTCGTACGTATCATTCGCGGCTCAATTTTGTTCCTGTTTTATTTTGTTTTGAATTATACGACTCGGCTGATAAAGTGACTGAATAAGAAGAAAAGGTATTTTGCTTTAAATTTATAACTTTTTAATAGCACCTGTTCATTCGTAAACCACTGACGATCAGACCGTAGCTGCGTGCAATAGTTTACTTTCTTGAAATATGTAAAGTGACCGTATTCTAAACGTTCATCTAAACTAGTTCAATGTCAAAGTTCATTGACACAGAGATTCACAAACTAAACACAGCGCTTTAAAAAAATGTTAACAAATATTTTTTATTAAAAGATTGAAATTATTTTAAAACAAATCAAATGTTACATTATGTATTTTGAATTATTTTTCATTTTGGTAATTTTATAAAACGGCAAATTTATTATTTTAATACACCCGTTTACCTAACCACATTTTTAAAATACACTCATTGTCAGAATTAGTGCCACCCGTTAGTTTCATACAGTCGATTTAAAAAGATAATAATTGGCAACATTGATAAAAAATAATCATTTCTACTTAGTATTCTCAAAACATGTGCTGTTCCCCACAAAACTTACTTAAAGTTAAATCCTATATAAATTAGTGAAATTTCCTGAATAACTTTTTAAATCAATGATAGTTTCATTTATTTATTAATAATAGTAAAATAATTCCGAAATTGAAATTTTAATTAATATTTCGTTTAACAATAATTTTTGTGACATTTTTGTAAATTAAAAAAAGTTCAGTATAAAAGATGCATTTTTTCTGGGGTTCAGGGCTATTCTACGAATTCATAAATATGCCCATTGTTATTTTTTCGTCGAGTTACCCCAGTTAAAAAAAAAGCAGTTTCTACGATGAATAGAAGTCGAGATATTACAAAATTTACAGCGCGCATCAATTTGAACTTGCGTTGTGTTGTTACGTTGTAAACTTAATTTTGCGAAAAATTCAAGTCTTCATGTTTATAAACAATTGCGCTACGATGTTTAAAAAAAAATCTTATCTTGGCTCCTGTTGGTCGAAGAGGGTGCTTTTTTTAAAAAAAATTTGAATTTTTTGCCAGCTATCGATCGAATCTATTTTCGGTGAGGTAGCATCAATACAACAATTTTATTCAAATTGTTTATAAGCGAAAAACGCACGTTTCTTTAATGCACAATTTGAGAATGTTAATGTCAAAAAACCGGTGATATTTTTTAATAGGTCGCTTAATTACGTCTTTAAGATTACAATGATGCTTTCAGGATCATGTTTGGTTGAAAATTGACGCCTGTACAGAGGCTTAAAGTTCATAACATTTGGAACCTCCGTTATAAACAAATAGATTGTGCGAAAACTATTGCACTTACAGCGCCCACTTTTGGCACACTTTTGAAGTATGACAAAACCCTCAACTTCTCAAAGGTTTTATAAAATTTTAACAATAAATGCGATAGTTATAAACAAATTAAAAATTGGTACTTTTCTTGTTTTTTTTGTAATAACTTTTTTGTTTATTAACCGATTTTAATTTAACGAGTCTCATTTTGTAGATAATTTTATTCCCTACAAGCTGTCTGCGAGTCACTTTTCGCTAAAATTGATGATTTTCCCTGCACAGTAAAAAAACTGTTTTCCTCGCTTATTTGTTTAAATAGAAAAGTTAGCTAATAAAATATTTTGACTCACGAGATGAGAGATGTCTTGTATTATGTTCATTTAGACAATTTTACAATACTTTCGCGGATAGAACTTTTTTCGAGTAAAAATTTTATTTGCTTGGCCTATGCATTGTTTCGTCGTAGTTTCACTTAAAAAGCTGTAAAATGTTTTAATTCAATTCCTGTTCCCTTTTTAAAATTTAATGTAAATAAATTTAAATTTTAATTTAAAAATGTTCATCTTAATCTACAGGTACCTAATTTAAATACTTTTGCAAATAGAATTTACATTTCTTGTTTCTCATTTTCAGACATTTACCTATTTTTCCACAAATGACTCAATTTTTTCATCCTATTTTAGGGGATATTTTAACGTTTTACTAAAATATGCCCTGGTAGATCGGTTTTTGAACTGCGGATTCGGATTCAGTATAAAAAAATATACAAGATTTATGTACTCTTGTGCGTGACCTTTTTTTGTGAGCTGTGTAGTTTTTAATTATTTATAAGATTCATTGTGTATTTGAAGACATTAATAGCATTTATAATAAGCTTTTATTTATTTCGATTCTATTGTATTTTCCATATTAATTCAAATATTTTGGAATAGCTTCCACTAATTGCTTAATATGTTCGTATGCAGAACAAAAAAAAAATGTCATCTCATTGAAGAGTTATTGTTTTATATCGCTGCTCAATGCCTGCGAGCGCTGTCTGACTTGTTACAATTTTTTTCACTCTGTAAGTAGCAATTACGCATATCTTAAGTGCCTATTTTAGATACCTACGAACTTGAACATAATTGACAGAGACATGAATATACTTCTATGACGCAAATTCCACCTGGCACTTGAAGATACACAAATATGGCATTGTTGTTAGTAAACTACATTTATCACTAAAAGTCCTAAATCTTATTCGTAATTGTATGGAGGAGAAAAATTGTAGTAGCAATACTATTACACGGATTATAAATAAATGGAATCTAGATAAAAAAGATATTTTAAACTTAGGAGATGATTTGATTTGATACTGAAATCTTTGTTCCGTGTACCATATGTCAATCAACATCAAAATCAGAATGATCAATTTACGCATTTACGACTTCTTTAATCACATAACTGTTGCCGCAGTTTGGTGTCAAGTGTCTTTGATGCAAAACTTATGTGCAGTAATTCAGTCAGGTGAACATCGCAAAAAGGTATTTAATTCAGTGACTTAATTAAACTGATCCCTGAAATACTCTTACCATAATCTGCTATATGTGTCTTTGTCTATTCCATTGCTTTCTCTTCGCCAAAACCTTTGACGATTCACGTTAATTCTTTATCTGCGTACATAGACTAGCGCCAAATATTTGTTGTTAAAGATGCGCAGAAAGATGTATTCTATTTTGAGTTGCATTTTGTAACACACTTTGGAACAGAAAATGTGGTTCGTGGGTTACAAAGTAAAGAAGGCAGTTCAACGACGTAGTCAATTCAGATTCTTAATTATCAGGTTAGTGTTCTTTAGGATTTTTGGCATTCCATTTAGATTTTAGTTTTTTCCTCTAGCTCGTGTCAGAGATATCAAAATTCTGCAGATATAAATCCTAGTGAATTCTTGTGTCACCAGGTTAGTGCTATACAGGATTTTTGTCATTCCATTCAAATTCTAGTTTTATTTCCTCTAACTTATGGTAAGGCATATCAAAATTCTATAGATATAACCACTGAGTCAGTGTAATATTTCTTGTGTAACCAGGTTAGTACCGTACAGAAATTTTGACATTTTATTTACTTTCTGGTTTTATTTCCTTGTAAGACACATCAAAATTCTGCAGGGATAAAGCCTTACTCAATTAGGATATTTTTTCTTCGTAAGTGAAGGCGACTTGAAATAACCATGTCCCAAAATGGCTCACCAGTACCAAAATGACAAAAAAAAAACCGCCAGGAAAAATGTTCTCAACAATAGTTGTAAGGTTCTTGATGGGCACTAAACTGGTGCCTTGGATTTGGTCTCCACCCTCATCTCACATTATCCTCCGATCATTTCAATGTCAAGTACGGCCACGATCGGTTATTAGAGATCACTAAAGATAACAGTTGGTCACTGTTGGTCATTATTGGTCACCGAAGGTAAAAGGCGGTCATTAAAGATCAACAGTGGCCACCGAGGTTAATAGACGGTCTTAGGTGGTCAATAGTAGTCATCAGAATGACCAACTTGACCTATAAAGTGCAAATATTCTTCAGGTGAAGTATTAATTTTCACTTTTTAATCATTTTTCAAAGGAAAGACATCTACCATTTTTGAGAAATTGCCTTTTATGTAACCAAATAAAGGGTAAAATAACAGAAGAACATTTATAAATAGCTAGTTTATTGATACATAATATATTTTACTTTGCTTTATATCTTCGGTCTTCGTTGTCGGTGGTTTAACCAATATTTGTCAAGATCATAATTAATCGCTTAACTGTTCTGTTTTTATTAACTCCATATTAATGTTGCCCCCCAAGAGAATAATTGGCTCGTATTGCTCTCGCTTAGAATGTCATGGAGATATCTATACTACTTCTACAGAATGTTTTACGACCATCTATCCGTTAATGTAATATATTGATTAGGAACTAATTCTTTGAATTTGATTAACTGAAAAATTCTTATAATCCTCTTGCTGTTGATGCTACCAGACTCTCATTAATTTATGTATACATTCTAAAAGTTTTGCAGAAAAGGTTCTTGAGATGCAAAGTAAGTCGAATACTTCAGTAAGAAAAGAGATCTTTCTGAAGATCTTGACTGAAAATGTATTTAATGTCAGTATAATTATATGTTTTTCAATATAAAAAGTGTGTCATCCAATAGAATGGTTTAAGTACTTATAAATGTTTTGCAATGTAAACTTATATTCTTGCAGTTTGTATAAGTTCGACTGCATGAAGCAATAGCTCATAATAGGCCTCTAAAATATCTAAGTAATTATACTTCTTAATATTTAAAGCCAGGAACATGTCCAATAATTGGTATTCTACATTGCTTACCTTTGATGATAGTTTCGCAATATGAAGGCACATTTGTGTAGATATTATACTAATAAAGGAATAAAAAGTCTTTGGTCATATCCTAAGAATCATGTCAAATAAAAAGCATTATATTTTAGCAACAGATGATTTGAAGAACATCCACATTATATATGTTTGGCTTAATATAAAAATTATAAACACGTGTACTGGTTTCATTGTTTTTACTAAGAACTTTTAGTGTAAAATGCATTGGTGTTGAGGTAATTTGAATGGTGTAAAAATTTGTAACATAAGTTAGCATAATGAAAACAAGCTAACATTTCTTAAAAAATATTAATAAAGTTATTTCGTGTTTAATTATGTGTGTGTGGGTGGCTGTGTGTGTGTGTGTGTTTGTGTAAGAAAACATGTTATTAAATTACATTATATTAAAATATGTGTAACATTGCTTATGCATATAAAGAATATACAAGTAACATGAAAAGTTCGTATAGTATTCGAACAATTTTCAGATGAAAAAAGTATAAATTAAGTGTAATACATTGATATAAAGTTATTATGTTTTTTTGGAAAACATGATTTATCTAACTTCTACAGAACTTATTTATACATAATCAACAAAAAGTCAGTCCAACAATCCATTATATGTGGTACACACATAATACTAGATACATACATTTGATTTTTTTCTAACGGGGAATTAAAACAAAACAGTAATTATATTTTTTATATAAAATATTCCTTGAACCCTCCAATTAATTTAAAATAAATAGCTATACAAAAATAAACATTTGGTTTATATGATACAGATATGTATTGTTATTTCTAATCCTAATTTACCCCACAAAGCATTTTACATAAAAAGTTTCAGATTACAATAGTATTTATTTTGGATATAACTAGAAGTTACAGTCACAACTCAACTGTGCATTGTGCCGCACTACGGTCTACGCAAACAAATATAGCGGGACTGAACCACAAACCATCTGGACATGGCATTACGTCGGCTTTGCCATGGTCACAAGAAATGTATAGGCCACAATCCTTGGGATGAGCACTCAGGAAAAATTCTACCGGCCTATCCTTGCAAATGTAACCTACGTCACCTGGGTTTTCTGGATCAGGAGTAGGTGGGGGTCTTGTAGTAGTTGTCGGTGCCTCGGTAGTAGTTGTTGCCTCAGTTGTGGTTGTTGCTTCTGTGGTAGTTGTTGGTTCTTCAGTTGTCGTTGGTTCCTCGGTCGTAGTCGGTTCTGCAGTTGTAGTTGGTTCCTCAGTTGTCGTTGGCTCAGCGGTAGTAGTTGGTTCTTCAGTTGTCGTTGGTTCTGCGGTAGTGGTTGGTTCCTCAGTTGTCGTAGGTTCTTCGGTAGTGGTTGGTTCCTCGGTTGTTGTAGGTTCTTCGGTAGTAGTTGGCTCTTCAGTGGTTGTAGGTGCCTCTGTTGGTACTTCAGTTGTGGGCTCTTCTGTTGTAGTTGGCTTTTCGGTCGTAGTTGGTGCTGCAGTAGTTGTCGGGAGTGGTGGTTTTTCTTTAAAAAAAATAAGTAAGTAATAATAACAATAATAATAATAGTATCAGGCTTCAGAACAGGAAGGTCAACCATCGATCAGATATTCATCATGAAGCAAATACAGCAGAATGCCTATGAGCAAAATCTTAGTCTACATTTGCTATTTATAGACTATCGCCAAGCATATGATAGTATTAACAGGAGGATGTTATTTCAAGCGATGAGAAAATTAGGAATACCAGGAAAGCTAAGGAGACTGGTGGAAATGACCGTAAGAAAAACAGACAACAAGGTTATAATCGATGGATCAACGTCTGAAGAATTTGCAGTAAAGAAAGGGCTAAGGCAGGGAGACCCACTGTCTACAGTTTTATTTAATCTAGTTCAGGAAACTATTCTAAGGGAGAGTGGCATCAACACAAAAGGACTGTTGTATGGCAACAGACACCAGTGCCTAGCTTATGCTGACGATGTGGTACTGATGGCGAGATCCAAGGGCGAGGTCATACGAACGTTCAAGTTATTAGAAAGTAAAGCAAGGGAGTATGGTTTAAGAATAAATGAGAGCAAAACTAAGTATATGGTAATGAAAGATATGAACACAGGGCTATCCACCAATCTAGTCATTAACTGTACAGATAATAGGACATATACATTGGAGAAAGTGCAACAGGTAGAATATTTAGGGATAATATTAACAAGTAAAGGGGATGAAGATAAAGAAATAGAAAAACGGTTAGCGAAAGGAAGTAAGGCAGCAGGGATGTTTTCAAAAATTTTAAGATCCAAAAATTTAACAAGAGCAAGAAAGCTAAGAGTATATGATACAATATTAAAGCCCACAGTTATCTGTGCTTGTGAGACATGGACAATGACACAGAAACTGGAGATCTGGGAACGTAAGATGTTGAGGAGGATTTTTGGAGGAATTAAACTACAGAATGAATTTAGAAGAAGAACAAATAAAGAAATAATGAAGTTGTACGGAAAGCCATACATTGTTCAGGTGGTGAAAGCGCAGAGAGCTAGATGGCTGGGACACATTGCAAGAATGTCCAATGAAAGATGGGTTAAAAAAATCTTATGAGAGAAGGAGGGAAAAGGAGAAGAGGACGACCGAGGAAAAAATGAATGGACGAAGTGATATCAGATCTGAAGAAAATAGGAGTTAGGGACTGGAGGAACGATGCGTTAGATCGAAAAAAATGAAAAATAGGAGTGAAAGAACTCATAATAAGGTAATTTGTTTCCAACAGGTTTGACACCCAGTTACAGGAACTTCTTGAAAGTATTAAATTTTATTTATGTCTTTTATTTATTTAAATTTGAAATAGAGGTATTGATCACATACATCCTGGAATCTTCATGAATAGATTGCTTCAAAAATAGATGTAGTGTACACAGATTTCTCTAAGATCTTTGATAGACTTGACCATAAAGCTCTATTGCAAAAATTATATATTTTAAAAGCAAGAAATTTGAAAAACTTACTTTGTGGTGATTCGATATTATTAATACGACATGGATAAATGGAATACCGCATTAACAGCTTGCATTCTAGTTTAAATTTCGTAATTTTCCAATTATTATTTAAATCTATACTTAATGATAAAACCTTTAATGATAGCAACAGTTTCAAAATTATAAGTTTGTAAGTACGCGTTTAAATTTTTATTATTGTTTTTATAAAAAAAATAAATCGGTTAGTAATCGTGTACATTAATCATGGGCAAAGTAAATAAATAAAAATATCTTTTGTTTAACATACCTGTAACACCACCGCCGGTACAACCAGCTCTTTCAGGATAATCACAAACATTCAAAACCGGATTGAAGTGTAGGCCAGCCGGACATTTGAACAAATAGGGTACACCATTCGAACACTGCCAAAATTGCTCGCAATTTTCATGTGGGAAGTACATTGAATCAGGCCCGTCAACAGTTGGACAGTCAGCTAAAAGAATAGGGAAGTGAGTTTACCCAAGTCTAACTTATGATCACATTAACGTAAACGCAAATAACAAAGTGGTAATAAAGTGTAAAGAAAGCAGATTGTTACGTTTTATTCACCAATGTTAGGAATGATTTTCTGGTAGTCAAATCGATCTAATAACATTTTTGGAACTGATTTTGCCACAATTTTTTAAATAACTGGTTGTCGACAATTAAGAAGCTGCTAAGTCACGGAATAATGAAAATGTTTTTGTTTAAGGGGGTTTTACATCAAGTTAATAAAAAAATAAAACAATTTACTTGACTTTTTTTAAAGAGGATACAAATACAATGCCTGGGATTTTTTGCTACATACAAGGTGGGCCATTAGTGTGAGAATACTCATAATACAGAAAAAAAGTTTACATAAAAGTTATACAGAATCAGGTGATGAGTAAAAACGGGACACGCCAAATATTACATTTTTTAAATGGAACACCCTGTATATTTTTAAACATATGGATTTCCGAGAAAATTCTGTATATGGCAGTATAAACAGTTTATCATTTTAGTGCGCGGTTGCCAAATTATGTAAAAAATTCTTCGAATTTTGGAAAAAACATGACCTCGAAGAAGTTGTATTAACTTTTAACTAGTAACACTTGGAGCAAAAATATTTGGTAGAGATATAGGCAAATGTTAGGCAAAGACTCCTTTATTAGCTAATATCGATATTTTATACAGGGCATGTTTTATAATACGACCATTTTTAGAAAGTTTAAACTTGATTTTCTAAAATTTTTCAAATGGAACACCCTGTATTTTATTGTTCTATTTTATTCACATATCGGTCCATTTCAACTTTTATTAAGCATGTTCTATATCTAAAATTATTAGTTTTTAAGATAAAGCAACATTTCTGAAAAAATTTTTATTATTTTGTAGAATACCACAAATAAATATTAACTAATAAAATTAACTCAAAATGGAATGATAAATTATGAACTGACAAGTTGACACAATGTGACAATTTTTTCCAAATCCATTTCGTGCGACCGAAAATAATAAAAATTAAGTTTTTCCAGAAATGTTGCTATATCTTAAAAACTAACAACTTTAGGTGTAGAACATACTTAATAAAAGTTGAAGTGGACTGATATGTGAATAAAATAAAACAATAAAATACAGGATGTTCCATTTGAAAAATTTTAGAAAATCAAGTTTGGACTTTCTTAAAATGATCGTATTATAAAAAAGCCCTGTATAAAATATCGATATTAGCTAACATAGGAGTCTCTGCCTAGCATTTGCCTATAACTCTGTCAAATATTTTTGCTCCAAGTGTTAGTAGTTGAAAGTTAATACAACTTCTTCGAGGTCATGTTTTTTCCAAAATTCGAAGAATTTTCTACGTAACTTGGCAACCCCGCACTAAAATGTGAAACTGTTTATATTGCCATATATAGAATTTTCTCAGAAATTCATATGTTTAAAAATATACAGGGTGTTCCATTTAAAAAATGTAATATTTGGCGTGTCCCATTTTTACTCATCGAATTGTGTGTTTCAAATTAATTTTGTCCTTTAGGTTTTTTGATTTTGTACAACTTTTATATAAACTTTTTTTCTGTATTATGAATAAGGGAGTTATTTTACTTTCTCACACTAATGGCCCACCCTGTATGTATTTACGTGAAAAAACATTATTGGTACAAAATACTGTCATGGTTATATGTCGTGCGACGTCATCGTCTTCAAAAAAGAAGTCAATTTTGTGAAAGCTACAAAAGTCGTAAATTTTACCTGAAATCGAAAATTCTTAAATTCTTAAATATACAGGGTGATTCACAACTTATCCAAAAAAATTTGGGAATAGATGCGGCATGAGAAATGGAGTCAATATTGTAAAAAAAAATTTGAAAAAATCCTTATAGTTTCTGAGAAAAAAATTATTGAAGTTATAGCACATTAAACTACTACATAACTGGACAACTGTAGTCTCTAGCGTCATTCGCAATACGCGTGGAGAGCCATGTGACTCCTAATACTGAAATCCGTCGTTGCGGTAGTTTTTACCTGTTATCTGTGGTCTTTACATCAGTTTTTTAGTAGTTAGTGTCAAAAATGGCTTGCGTGTATAGCAACTCAGAGTTGATGGATATCGTTTTAATTTATGGTGAAGCAAGACAACATTTGTATTATGGTAAAGTATTTGTGTTATGGTGAAGCAAGACATCATTTGTGTTAGTTCGTAGAAAGTGAGTAAGACGGACCCAAATGTGTTTACACGTGAGTGGATAAAATTTTGAACAATTGCTGTTGCAGCATCGGGTATGTCAAATGATTTTATTATTTAAAAACACAAATTAATTTTATTAATAATTAATAAAGGCAAAAGCATTTGAATTTGCCGATATAAAATAGGTGCGATAAAATTCTATTTACATATTTCTTTCCTTGCGAAAGTTTTTGTCCGTTTTCGCATTGTGCGAGGTCAGGTTTTACAGTGGACCAGTTTCCAGTGCCGTGCAGAATTGTATTTTTAAATCAATTTCGAACTGACCTTTTTGATTTTTTCTTTACAAAATTGTATTTGTAAGGGTCCCCTGCCCCTGTACATCCAGAATTTTTTTTTTGGATAAATTCTGAATCACGCTGTATATCCGTAGTTGGAGAATGGTATTAATAAAATCAATAAAAACTCGAAAAGGAAAAAACGACGAGCATAGGCATTATAGTCTCGATTTTCAATTTTTTTTATCTTGGTGTTAAAAAAAATAAAAAAAAAAATTTTTCCCTGTTTTGTTAGCATATCCTCTAAGGTATTCAATGTATTTTAAATTAAAAAAAAAGTCGATACCTTGTTGGGTTCAAGATCTAGAGTTTACACAAGTTCAGGAAACGTAGTTTCGAGACAAATACGTTTAAACACACAGTTGTTGCTATATAGGTATATAAAATTCGTGTTTACCGCGCATGTAGAGAAACCATAGAAATGACTATAGAAAAATATCGACATCTACAGACACTTAAATCAATTGTTTATACAGCTATCTACCGTCATTTATATCATTTACATTTATTTCGCAATGATACAAACATTCTAGAAAATCGAATAAAATCCTAAAAAGATAGACATAAAGTAGGTGCCTAAATGATACGATAGCTCACGTGAAAGTTAATTTAGAAAAAACCGTTTGAGTACCATCATATTCTACACATGTTATCTACCAAAATAAGAATTTTGTATTGAGTTTCATGTAAATACCCTTTTAATGTTCAACAATATATATGTTGTTCATTCTCTTAGTTAAAACTCAAACTAATATTGGTGTTGTAATCATGAATTTTGAATGCCCTAATTTTCATTTGTTACTTTAAATTAACTAATGTTTTAATTAATACCACGGCATTTTGAATGTAAATCAGCATACTTTTAAAGAAAATTTTATTCGCAAAAAAATTTAGTAACATATTTTTCGTTTAACGTTAATGTGTTCTTTAAGAATAATTACAAGTTTCCAATATGATTACTATACCTTTAAAATTACATTACAGCCAAAAAGTATGCATCATAGTTAATGTGCAAAAAATCATAAATATTTTTCAACAATTTTTCCCTCAAAGTAATTAATGAAAACGGAGAGCGGAAAAATACAGGGAAGACGTCACAACATACGTCTCAAAAACAGATAATAATAAAATCAAACTAACAAACCTGTTTAAAAATGAAACGCCATTACAAATTTTAATGACATCAATAGTTACAGCTACTACTTAACAGCAACTTCTAACAATAAGTGAAAGTGGTTTTAAGGACAATTTTATCTTACAATATTTCATAATCATATTGTCTACAAGAATTTTAACTGTATTTACAACTATTTTGATGTTAATATTTGTCACTTATGTTAGCTGAATATGACTTAGACTAGATAGTTTCATAAAATTACATGCTGCGTAACAAGGTTTTTAAATCAACCGTTGAAGATACTAGGTTATTAATTATAAATTTAAATGAGATAATCTTATTTGGTAAAAGATATAAATATTTTTCTAATTTACATTTTACCAAAAATAGAATATAACAATCAATCATTAAGATAATAAAGACATTTTAAATTAGGTACCAAAAATAATCATACACGTGCAAAATAGATGATGAGGCTACTTAGAAAAAGATAACAGGGATTAGTACAATCGAGTTATTTAAAACATATATTCTCCAAGTATCCAAAAGTTATTATGATTCAGAATTTTATCCAGGTTAAAAGTCCAATACTTATAAATATGTAGATTTTGGACAAAATGTCTACTACTATCCAGTCATCATCGTGGCATGGAAATTTTGTATAGTCTTGAATAGTCTAGAAAAAAGTTTAAGTTCGTGTGAATGTAAATATATGAGGCAACAGCACCAATGAGCGTTTAAGCTATTAAATTCAACAGGGTTAGTCTATCTTTTTTACTTTTCTGTCTGAATGTTGGATAAGTTTCTTTCTAAGAACAGCCAAAAATTTAGTTTTGCTATTTAAACAAACATCACATTGCATTACTCATAACCTCCTCTATAACCACACGTTCTAGGATTGTTGATGGATCATTTAATTTTCCTAATATTGTTATTCGAGTGCAACGTGTTTAAGTGTTAGTGAAACGGAAACGTTTCAACTTTTGAAACAAGCTTACGGGTCGTATGCAATGATGTAAAAGTTGTCGTCAGTGAATTGAAGATGAGTCTCGATCAGCAAGGCCTTCCATTTCAACTGATGACTCCCATATACAGAAAGTCAAAGTTCTGGTGCGTGCAAATCGTCGATTAATTGCCAGAGAAATTGCAGAAGAGGTTAGCATCTCAACTGGGCCATGCCATGAAATTTTGATTGAAAAATTGAACAAATTGAACATACAGCAAAATTTCTTCGTCGTTTGATAATGAAAAGATTCATTCAAAGTATCATAACTGGAAAGAAAGCTGTGTTTACGGCTACGATATTGAGACAAAAGTTCAATGATCACAAT